CCACAATAACACCACCTTTGACACACACCTGCCAAAAATGAAACGTAACCTGTTGGTAACCTGTTAAAAAGTTTCTAGTGACACGTGTCACAATATCATTAGTCAATTTTTTTAAGATATTTTTTTTAAAAAAAAAACCTAAAAAAAAACAATACTTAAAATTTAAAAATAAATAAATAATATATATATATATATATAAAACCTCCGTCTTGGCAGCCACCCCACCGTTGGGCCTCCCTATAACCGCCGGCGGCCAGAGCCCCAACATCCTATCCCGGCGTCGGCGACACCTCTCCTAACCCCGACCACCGACTCCTTCCACTGAACCACCTTCCTCCCGCCCTAAAACCTTCCTCATTCACCTCAAAAACCCTCTCCCTCCCCTCGAAAACGCTCCTCTCCTCACCGGCCGGCGCCAAACCACCTCCACTATTCCGACGAACCAATTTTGCCCTTCCAACAACCGTCTCCACCCCCTTCCTCCCTTGAATCACCACCCGAAACTTTAACCCCAAATTATTGTGGTGGTTTTTGTTTCCCGAATCACCACCCCCATCAAACTTTAACCCCAAATTGTTGTCGAAAATGGGGTCCGGAAGGAAAGGGGTATCGGAAAAGGGGTCAGGAAGGGGAGGGGTGCCGGAAATTAGGAAGGGGGTCGGGGAGAGGGTGGTTTCAGGTGGGTGGTCTTGGTGGGGGTGGTGGAGGCCGGTGCAAGGGGGTGGGAAGAGGGTTTTATTTTTATTTTTTTTTTTAGTTTTAGTTTTTTTTTTTTTTTTTAAATCAAAAATTAAAAATAAAACTGACAAATCATACTAGGACACGTGTCCCAGGGTAACCTATAAAATAGGTGACCGGTTTTTTGTTTCATTTTTGGCAGATGTGTGTCAAAGGTGGTGTTATTGTGGAATAATCAGAAGGTGGTGTTATTTAGGGAAGACCGCTTAAAGGTGGTGTTATTTTTGACAAATTTTCCTTAGGTTAATTAAGGTAAATTAAACCCTTTATATAAATTGGGATAGTTAATTGGGTGGCAAAAGTGATAAAAGTGGGTTCCGATAACGTCTTAATTGGACGGAAAATGTTAATGGGTAGTGCTACCCAAACGTTCTCGAAGTTGTAGGTAGTTCTAAACAAATAAAAAAAATGGGTAGTTATTCACAAATGACCCTATGTTTAGGGTAGTTCTACACAAAATTTCTTATTAAAAAATACTTGTAATAATTTAAAGTACAGCTAATTACACTTATTTCAATAATTTGTTACAATTTAATATACTACAAGTATACAAATTGAGGCTTTGCATATTCTTATTAACTAGCCTTCTGGCCCGTGTAATATACGGGTGTGCAATGTAAATAATTATTTTTTAATACACGTATATTGGAAAATGAATAGTTTATAAAAGAGAAGAAGAGGTGGAAATTAAAATTAATTGTAGAACAATTTAAGTTGGGGGAAAGTGAACAAAACAACATTCATACATGTATTGAATTAATTTATTTTTTTAATATGAAAAAGGGGATTAAAAAAAGAAAGATCAAATGAGGTGACATGTGGCATTGATGAAAAATGAAATTTACATATGCCATTATAGGGAGGATGGTTTGTATTTTTAAATACTAAATAAATAAATATAGATATAGAGATAGATATAATTTGGGATTATTTTGAACGGGTGGAGCAATATTTGGATTATTCCCAACAAGTTTTCTTAGATTTAAAAGGATTACTCCCTCCGTTTTTAAATACTTGTTTCATTTCTTCATGTGCGGAGTTTTAGGAGAAATTGGAAAAAATAATAATATATAGAGGTAGTGGGGTAGGTGGAAGAATAAAAAAAATTGTAAAAAAACAAAATTGGTAGAGAGGATTGAAGGAGAGAAAATATGTGGTGGGTCCACTAGGTGAGAGAAATTAGATAAATATTGTAAAAGCTTTCCAAATAAGAAAATGGAGCGAGTATTTAAAAACGGCCGAAAAAGAAAAGTGGAGCAAGTATTTAAGAACGGAAGGAGTATAAAACAAACACAAAGTTTCATACGCGACTGGCCGCAACGTACGACCAGCCGCAATATACTTTTTTTTCTCTCTCTTCTCTATCTCCTATGGTCAAACGCAACGGTTAAAGCTAATACAACGGTCTGATGCAACGGTGATAGCTAATGCAATGGTTCAATGCAACGGATAAAACTAATGCAACCTTTTTGTAAGCTATTGCAACGTTCCTAACATAACCGTTGCATCAGCCTATCAAATGCAACGGAATTTTAGGCTACTGCAACGGTCCAAAAATGACCGTTGCACTAGGTGCTAAAATGTGAAAATTTAAAAAACACGCCTTGTTTCCCGCTCCCATTATTTTATCGAAACTTTGAAATCGTTATTCGGCGGGACATCATTATTTTTTGAAATAAATTCTCACCATGTACATACTCCTAATGTTTATCCTCTACTCTCTTTCTCTCTCCATATCTATCTTGTCTCTCTCTCTCTCTTCAAGTTCCAAACTTCCAACATCAAGCTTAAAATACTTTCAATTATCATATCTTTTTTGTAAGTTTTTGTTTTGTGAAATTTATTTCTTTAATTTTTTCATATTTGAAGTATTAATATGTTTAGTACAATTTTACTTAATTTTTGTTTATAATTATTGACATGCTAATTTTTTTTTATAATTAGCTATTACTAATCAATGAATATTTAGCTAATGCCTTGTTGTATTTAATTATTTTATAGTTAATTTATGTTGGTCATGATATATAGTTCTTTTCAAGTCCATACTATTTCATTCAATTCTTCTACTTCTATTAATTATGTTTTTAGATTATTTTTCTCTTGGGTATTTTGTTTCTTTTGCTCGTCTAGTTTTTAGATTATTATTTATGGGTGTTTCTAAATTTAAGTGTTATTTTTGGGTTTGTGGTTTTATTTAATTTTTTGACATTTAAATTAATTATATAGGCTTGGTTGGTATCAATATATCATTGTACTATGACAAATATTTATTATTACCTTCTCTAACAAATTTATCTAATAAGAAATTCAACTAACTTTTATTTTAATGTAAAGTGATGTGATTAAATGATTTTATTCTCTTATGTAATTAGTTGTTTGTTTTATGTATATAGGTACATGGTGATATGATGATGAACAACATGGTGTATATCAAGGAGGAAGAATGGTGATGGGATTATTGTGACAATATTGTTGGACAATTAGATACATATCAAATTAGGTTTTATAATCTCCTTAATCCTTATATAGGTTTATATATTAGTAAATATTTTGTGAACTATTTAGATAAATATTTTGGGTATGGAATTGTTTGCAAAGTCAAATATCAATGTAAAATTACTTAATGTATATATACATATTTCTAGAGGAAAAATAAAATGGTTGTTATATAATTTTGTTTACATTATTTGTTCTTTGTAGTTTTATTAATTATTTTATTTACTACGTGCATTAAATAATAATAATAATAATGATAATAATAATAATAATAATAATAATAATAATAACAATAATAATAATAATAATAATAATAATAATGATGATGATGATAATAATAATAATGCAGCGATTCTATAAAAAGTAATGAGTGTTGCACTAGAACTAAAAGACCATTGCATTAGGTCTACTACAACGGTTCGTAGGAATTCTAAAGAACCGTTGCATTAGGTTTTATTAACCGTTGCTTTAGGCTCTGATGCAACGGTCCATTGTTGATGGCATAGGACCGTTGCATCAGGTAAAATGAACTGTTGCATTAAACCTAATGCAATGGCTGCAAATGCTATGGTCCTTTCCGTTGCAATAGGTCTATAGCAACGGGTTTTTGCCCTATTGTAACGGTTTTTAGGGGTTGCATTTGCTCGTTTATGTAGTAGTGATACTCCTTTCATGAACTCTCTTCTATCTCTCCTCTCTCCTCTTTCTCTCTCCTATTTTCATCTTCTTTAGTTAGCCCACTCAAATCAAACAAGTTAAATGGAGCAGCGGTGGTAGGGGTAAGGAAGATCTTCGTACTCCGTCGCCGAAAAACAAGCTAGAGGTTTTAAGGTCAAATTCAGCCATGAAAACTCTAGATCTAGAGTTTTCATGACTGAATTTGGCCTTTTTAGCCATATTTCAAGTAAAATTCGAAGCCAATATTAATTTTGTAGTATTTGTTCGTTTTAATTTTTTTTTAAACAATTTTAATGGTTGTTAGTGGTACGGGAGTTGGTGGTGGTGTGGTGGAGTTTAAGATTTTGAGGACGGCGGTTGAAAAAAAGTTGGTGTTGGTGGTGGTTACGGTGGGTTTGGGTTTGGGTGTGGGTTAATGGTTACTAGGTCGGGGGTTACTAGGGGTCACTAGGTTGGTCAGGGGGTTATTAGGTCGGTTAGGGGTTACTAGGTCAGTTAGGGGTTACTTGGGGTAACTAGATCTGTTAGGGGTTACTAGGCTATGAATTACTAGGTCGGTCAGGGGTACTAGATTGGGAGTTATTAGGGGTTACTAGGCTAGTCAGAGGTTACTAAGTCAGTCGTGGGTTACTTTAAAAATGTGAAGACAAAAGAGTGGAAGGTGGGAAAAGAAGACAAAAGAGTGGAAGGTGGGAAAAGAAGACAAAAAGTGGAGGGTGGGAAAAGAGAGTGACTCGTGGAAATGTGAAGCGTCCTTTTCCATCAAACAATACTCCGTAGTTTTTTTTTTTTTTTTTCGTATAAGTTTCATTAATGCTTAATTGCTTTGTTTGTTTGGCATTCAATTACTACCATAATGAAGCGTCCTTTTCCATCAAACAATACTCCGTAGTTTGTTTTTTTTTTCGTATAAGTTTCATTAATGCTTAATTGCTTTGTTTGTTTGGCATTCAATTACTATTTACTACCATAAAATGTACGGAGTATCAACTATCTTGGTTTGACATGTTCTACTCTTGGACTACATAGACATAGTGCTTCAATTATTTTTCTCAATGGGTTGATATGTGCCACTTCAAACACAAACCTAAAGAAGTTACATTTACATTGATATAAAAAAAAATCTTCTTAAGACATTGATAAAGATGGTCTTAGGTCATGCCAGATCTCATGCTCAAAATTCGTATTGAAGAATTTATGAATAATATATTTAAGCCTCAATCCCGACTTATGAGCAATATAATGTTACATGTTGGACAGTAAATCGATCATGTTCGTGCGAGCTCTACACATAGCTTCGAGTGGTTTAGCCTTAGGCATTGTAAGTCCAACACCTTCAGTTAAGTCCACTTTGTCCTCATCAACCCTGTCCCAATCAAAGCATTGAACTAAGGTTGCCAAAGTTAACCCTATCACTTGATTAGCAAGATAAGCACCCGAGCAAGATCTCCTCCCAAGTCCAAAAGGGACCCAAGTGTATCTATAGTCTTCACTCTTTAATCCTTCAAACCTCTCAGGCCTAAACTCCAAAGGGTTCTTCCATAAATTTGGATCCCTATGAACCGCCCACGCGTTGATCATTATAGTTTTACCCTTGTCAATGTGATACCCTGAGATGGTTAAATCCTCGGATGCTAGGTGTCCGACTAGTAATGGGGCTGCTGGGAAGAGTCGAAATGTCTCGTTGATGATGCATTGGATGTAAGGAAGCTTAGGGATATCGAATTCCTCTACTAATCCACCATCACCTTTACAATTTTCGATTTCTTCTCTAGCCTTTTTGAGTACATTAGGGTGGTTAAGCAACAAGGATAATGCCCATTCCATTGTAACAGCTGATGTATCTGTTCCTGCTATCAACATTACCTATAATAATTCAAAAAAATCAATTCTAGTTTTTGTTCAAGTTATGCATCATTATTTTGTTGAGTTTTTTAGAACTTTGCTTTCGTCTGCATAGAAAATTACTAGTGTACATACTCTGTATTAGGCATGAATCAATCATACCAAGAGAATAACAAGGAATTTAAATCCAAAAGTTATGGTATACAAATTATACAAAACTTCATTGTAAATTATAGGCAAGCAGCCCCAACCTCATTTCTTAACTAGATACCGATTAGTTTAGTTGGTTAAACTCTTACAGGTACAACCTATGTTTACTCGAACTCTTCATTTCACCTCACATACCCGTGTCGGACCCTCGACACTCGGACATAGGTGGGACACTTGGGAACTTCATTTTAGTTCAAAATCATTGAAATTTTTCAAAAAAAATAGTCTGGTCAGACACTTGGACACGTATCTGTGTCAGACATGGGTCCCGGGTCCAAGTAACATAGGGTACAACACCACCTATGGACCGAGTTACATCTACATCATTATGTTTTGTAGCTTTCTATACACCAAAAATTTCATTTCTTAAAAATCAGTCAAGTTTAAGTAATTATTAATTTGACTGATTTTTAAGAAATAAAAATTTTGGTGTATTTCATTTCTTAAAAATCAGTCAAGAAATGAAATAATTACTTTTTTTTTTTCTTTCAAAAAAAAAAAAGTAATTGTTTCGGGTGAAAACAATGGGACCTTGTCGAAGGTCCGATGAAGTGGAGAAGACTAGATTCGATCCAAGTAATGTTGGGCCGAAGGTTTCCTGCACAGTAAACATACGTAAACTAGCCTCGGGGGTGTTGCCGAGGAAGGCCCCTCCGATGCTAAAGTCAGTACAGTGTGTAGAAAGAGAACACTATGCAAGAGAATTAATTGCTTGAGGCTTTGCTTGAATGAATGTACAAATGTAATATTGATGGCTTTTATACCTCTGCATACATGGAGAAGTTGGGCCTTAGCCCAATTGGCTTGCCTTGAGGACTGATCTTTGACTTTAGCACAATTGGAGAGATGAACCTTGACCTTGGGCTTTTAATTGGATCATTTAATGCCTAGGCCCAATTGGACTAAATTGGACCCAAACAACTTGCCCCCCAGACCCGATTTGAAAGGATGACGGGTCGGGTTTGATTTAATTAGAAAAGGAGGGAAGTGAATGATTTAATTAATCCAAAATTTTGAATTTAAACCGTAATTAAACCGTAATTAATGAGATAACAACAGTTAAGGCGGATAATTGTGGAAGTTGGACGGATAATGGGCAGTTTAATCGCAAGGTCGTGTGTTTAACGGTTACTTAGTGGGGTATTTAAGAGAAATTGAAACTCGGACTCCCCGTATTCCCATTTCTGGAGATATAATTAGAGGCGCGTCATCTCTCCTCACTTATTCACCAACACAAACCAAGAATTCTCGAGAGAACCCAAGAACCCGCATCAAAACTTCGCAAATTCCCCGAGCATTAAGCTTAGAAACTAGACTCGCCACTACCAATTCGTAAATCGGCAACTTTCGCTTCACATTAAGGTAAATTCCTTTGATTTTAGTTTATTTTTCTTCGAATTTGAACTCCTTCCCTTTTTTTTCGACTTTTTTCTTCGAAATTATCAATGGCGAGAGGAGTTAGGGGTAGAGCCCGTGCTCCAAGAAGAGCAAGACCAATTCCCGATCCCAGGAACAGGATTGGGACCTGGAATGGACAAAGAGCAGAGTCTGACCCTACTGAAGGGATTAGGGCGACTCCAATTTCCTCGGCTCCTCCTCAGAGAACGGAGGGGCCGAGCGCTTCTGGGCGGGACGATGAAGTTCCCGCTGTCCTTTGGGATATCCTTCCCGGGTTTTCAGAGTGGGAGGATGCCGAAGTAGCTTCGGCCATGATAAAGAACCGCCCCTACTCATGGTGGGTGGAGAATGCCGAACAGTATCGGTTTGCCGAACAAATTGAGTTGCATTACGGCATCCTTGAAGCTGATGGGTATTGGTGCCGAATGCCCGTGGCATCCGATAGAATCCATCGTCCACCCCCGGGGTATGTGGGGGTGTACACAAGACAACTTCAGTATGGGCTGAGGTTCCCTTTGGACGTATTCGTCCGAGACTTGCTGATCCATTACAATATTTCCCTATGTCAGCTAACTCCTACTAGCATCCGAAGGGTGATGACATACTTATGGGTCTGCAAGTTTTTCAGGTATGTGCCGAACCTGCACTGCTTCAAAAAGCTTCATCGGCTAGTGCCAAATATTCAAAGTGGGCACGGAAGTCATGGTTCTGGGTGGTACCGGATTGAGTCTCGGCCCCAGTACCTAACCATGTGGACGAACGACTCTTCAGACAAGGACTGGAGAGGTCAATGGATTTGGGTTAGGGCACCCACGGACCCGGGCCACCCTTGCGTCTTCAGCGCTCCCAGGTATCTTGCTGAGCCTGATCCCGACATGGGAAGTTTAGGTCCCCCCGAAGATAACGGCCCAGATCCGAACCTTAATCAACAGAACATCTTCGGCAAGCTGCCGAACCGGGGGGGGGGGGCAGTGGTCGAATGCAGCATATCCCGGAGACTTGGCTCCCCGATACACATTATGTCTTCCAAGAGAACATGTTAGCAGCTGTCGGCCTCAGCCGAAAGTTTAAGGATGGTAAGCTTCTTCGGTTGGGGCCGAGGCCTTTTATTTATCTATTTTCCTCCGTTTTCACTTCGCTCTTTTATGCTGTGCCAACCTAACTGAACTGACCTTTTCCCTCTTCTTTTTCAGAGCGGGACGAGACCAACGTCGGCATTAACTACACTCGTCTTGGCGTCAACCGAGAACGAGTTGTAACTGATCGGGTCCCCTCTATCACTGAACCGAGGCATAGGGAAGTTCATCTAGACTCTTCCCATTTCCAAATTGAGGTTGTTGCTCTGTATCAGAGGCAGAAGCCTTGGTGGAAGAAGAGAGATCCCTGGTTTCAGCTGCTAGACGAAGAAGCTGAAGCTGCCCGTACGGCCGAAGAGGTTGCACGGGTTATTGAAGCTTGTGAAGGAGGAGAAGGGTCCTCCAGGGCTGCTGAAGAAGAAGCTGCAGCTAGGGCAGCTGAAGAAGACGAGGCTTTGCTGAAGACCTCGGTGAGCTTTCAGACTTAATTTTATCTGTTTCTGTTTGTTGTTTGTTTTTTTTTTACTCACATTCTTCCTCCCCCCTGTCTTTTACAGTCCGAAGAGAGTAATAGACATAGAGAAGGGAAAGCCCCTGCTCGTCCCGAAGACCAGATACAAGAAGAGTCTTCAGACTCAGACATGGACGAGCAGCCGCTTCAGAAAAGGCGACGAAGAATGTCCATCATCGGCCTGCATGACTTTCAGCGGAGGCCGATGACCATCGACGTCGAAATAAGGGAACCCGAGGAAGGCAATGGATCGCCGAGGGTTCCCCGGCCACCACCTCAATCACCTCCAAAGACCCCTCCGCCACCTCCCGAGATGGAGGTGGATCAGAAAACTCCCGAACCTAAGGGAGGGGTCCAAGAGGAAGTTTAAGAGAGTGCTGCTGAGCACAGAAATGAGGATGCTGTGATGCCCAGTGCTGAGGGTTTCACAGCAGACATTGCAAGAAAGGTTGAGGCTTTCGTCCTCACACCTGAAGAAGAAGAAGTCATAATAATTGACTTTTCTGAGAAGAAGGGGGATGCCGAGCCATCCAAGATTAAAGAAGCTCCATCGTCATCCTTCCCTTCCTTCCAGACGCTGCAGTCTGGGGAAATGGGTTTCTCGGCCCCTCGAATTCCAATCCCAGATCACATCTGGGACCTCATATGGGGTCAGAACCGAGAAGGTGTTACAGCCTACTTCGGCGATTTTGCTGGCATGTCCGAAGTAGATAGGGCAAGAATCTGGTCGCTGAAGGCCACTGCTGGGATGGGCGAATCCAGCAGATCAGTTCCGGACCCAGCCAGGTCTAACCAACTGCTGATGATGCAGGTGATTCTCCTTGCCTTTATCTCTTTTTCAATTCAGCTCTTCAATTCAGTTTCAGTTATTATTATTATTTTTTTTTCTGTTGACTTGTGCTCCTGTTTCAGTTCGTGCACAATCAGACTCTCACTGTAGAGCTGATAGATACCCTACAAGATAGGGTAGATGCTGCCGAGCACGACAAAAAGGTAGCTAAGGAGGAGTTAAAGCTTGCTAAGCTGAAGCAAGCAGCAGCTGAAGAGAAGCAGCAGAAGGGTGAAGAATATGAGAAAAAAGCTGCTGAAGCCTTCAAAACCTTCTGCGATGCTATGGAGAAGGAAGTTTTTCCCCCACTGATGGAAGGGGAAAAATTCCTCCAAGAGCACATGGGAGTGGGCATCTCCAAATTCAAGGCTACCATTGAGAGCCGAATCCAGGAAGGAGCTGCTGCACAAGCTGAAGTGCAGCAACGGCTAGAAGCTCTTGAAGCCAGCAGAATGGCTGCTGAAGAGATGCTCCAAGCCAGGGATGTCCAACTCTCAGAGGCTGCTGCTGCTGCTGGAAGCTCAGAGAGCTAAGCTCCAAGAAGCTGAGGATCAGCTGAGGCCAAAAAGGAAGAAGTGGCCCAGGCCCAGACAGAGGCTTCCCAAGTTCAGCAGGAGCTGAATGAGCTGAAAGGTTCCTCCTCCAAGCTCGCCGATGAGCTGAAGAAATCCAAGGAAGACTTGGAGGAGACAAAGAAGAAGTTGGCTGATGCTGAGGCTCTACTCAAAGTCCGTGTCTATACCCAGGAAGAATATGAAATGGGTTTCAGAAACGGGTTCAGAGTGTGCCGAAGAGTCTGCCTTCATGCTGAGCCGAAGTTGGACTGGTCCAAATGTGTTGAATGGGTCCAGGATCCCGAAGACCCTCATATGAAGTATGCAACTCCAGTCGAAGCTGAAATCCTTAAGGCTGAGGAAGCCGAAGAAGAAGCTGAGAGAATGGAGTTGGAGGCTGAACAGAGGGAAAGGGAGGCTCGGCAGAGTGCAAAGCCTGCTTC